AACTACCTGTCTCCGTCTTCCCCCACCCTTCCCAAGAAAAAGATGCATCCATCACAGGCTGGGTTTCCAGACCTTTAAAATAATTCCCTAACCCAGCATGTCCTGGAGAAAAATCAGACTATTTATTTAAGCAAAATGATAAAAGTCACACATAATCTCCCATCTCAAAACAATGTCTGTCTAACACTTTGGTGCATATTTTAAACGCACACACAAATATATAATATTTATATAAAAATGAGATAATCTTGTGTCTATTTTTACTTTTTATTTCACTTAAAAATAGCTACCAAACAACTTTTAATGTCAATACCAATGCTTCTATCCCATCATCTTTGATAGCCTATAGTTTATCATCTATGTTCATATACTTAGCAACCTCCATTAATACACATTTAAGATATTTCTTATTTTGATATTATGAATATGATTGTAACAAACACTAAATTGGTGTATGTACACTTATTAACTTCCTTGGGACAAATTCTAAGACGTAAAATTGACGACTAAAGAGTATATTCATTTTAAGTTTGTGATGTACATTGCCATGTTGACTTATAAGAACCTCTTTTCTGTGAAAATATCTCAGGGGCCTCACATGATAATTTATTTGTTTTCAGTAGCCATTAATTGAAAAAAATACATAATAAAAAGCTACCATAATTCAGTTTTGATTCTAAATTAAGTTTCATTGAACACAACAGAATCAGCATATGCTTTAAATAAAACCCTTTGTGTTCAGAATAGATTATTTGGCCAATCCATCTGCAATACTTGGGTGCTTAGGGCCTGGCTGGCTCTTTGCAGGTGTGATTTTCCAAACTTGGAACTGTTCCTTCTTGATTGTATTCTGTGGACCCAGGTCCCCCAAACAGCAGGTCTCGGGCTAATTTTTTTTGTCTTTTTCTCAGATGAAGAGTTATTTTAAGGATCATCTTTCTCTAAGATCATCATCCCTTCCTGGAGTTCCTATCTTCCAAGATGTGACTGCCTGGAGCTCCTTAACTAGGAAGATGGATGAAAATGGGAAGCCTGTGGATGGAGACTACAAGGAATATGGGAAGAAGGGAAGAGAGGTTGTTCCTTTTAATAAATCATCGTTGTTAAAAGCACTCATTATATTTAGTTATTTGGTTAAAGGTGAGGAGGCGGGAGAGGAGAACAGGTGACATTTGTTGAGTATTGACTATCGACAAGGACCATGTTAAATTCTCCCCAGGCATTATCTAAGTATCCTTAACAACCTTTTGACTGTACTTCTTATCACCACCATTTGAGGACACTGAGGTTTGGGGCAAAGTCATATAGCAGATAGGTGTCAGTGCCTAAAGTATAATCATATGTCAAATGCCACATAAGGCCTATGCATTACAGCATAGTGGTCAGGAGCCCTGACTCTGAATTTCAAACCCAGGCCCACCACACAGCCATGGGGACTTCAGTGAGAGTCTTCATCTTTCTGTGATTCAGTTTACTCATATATATATATATATAAAATAGTACCTCATAAAGCTACAAAGATAAGAGGGTCACATACAGTGCTGATACATAGAAAGCATTCAGTAAGTATCAATTATAACGATTATTAGCACAGTAGTGTCCCTAATCCATGGGGTATATGTTCCAAGACCCCCAATGGATGCTGAAACCGTGGATAATATCAAACTCTATATATACTATGTTCTTTCCCATAAATACATACTTATGATAAATTATAATTTATAAATCAGGCAGAGTAAGAGATTAACAATAACTAATAATAAAATAGAACAAATATAACAATATGCCAGCATCACTATTCTTATGCATTGAGACCAATATTAAGCCAAATGAAGGTTACTTGAACATAAGCACTGCGACAGTGAATCTCATAACTGAGGCGGTTATTAAGTGACTAACAGGCAGGTAGCATATAAGGCGTGGATATGCTTGACTAAAGGCTGATTCACATTCCAGGCAGAATAAACTGGGGTGGCGCAAGACTTAATCACACTACTAAAAGCAGCAGCAAGTGGAAATGTATGAATTGTTTATTTCTGGAATTTTCCATTTCGTATTTTCATACTGATTGACGACGGGTAATTGAAAAGGCTGAAAGTGAAACTACCGGTAAGTGGGGACTACTATTTACCAAACAGGCTGATGACCCTGAAACAGAACCCAAGGCCAAGCCACCTTCCTAGCCTCTCCTGGTTCAATATGTCACCTGGATACTGAAATCAAGCTCCTCTCTTCTGGTTTTCCCCATTACAAAATGTGGGAGGTAAAACAAAATGGGTTTATAAATCTCTCATCTATGTTCTTCACAATCACAGCCAGCCTGCACTACAATCTGATTTCAACCAATTTGCTGCCTGTGGAGCCTTGACCAACCATTTATACTCTTTGGCACCATTTTCTCAACTGTAAAAGGGGGAAATAATCATATCTACTTCATTTGATGCTAAGATGTATAAAACTTTAGAGTTTACAAAGCATATCACAAAAATCCCATTTGATTTTCACATCAACCAATGGCAAATAGGGACCCTGAATAAATAATTAGTGAATTCATTCATTCTGTCAACAAGTATTGTGGGGGCACCTACCACATCCCAGGGGCTGTGCTAGCCCTGGGATACAACAGTGAATGAGAAAAATGGGATCTGTGCCCTCATAAAGTTAACATTCTAGAGGAGGCAATAAATGAGAAAGTAAGCAACTAAACAAGATAACTACAGGTTATAGTAAATTTTCTGAAGGAAATAATCAAAGATGTGAATTAGAGTGAAGTGGGGGCATGCAAGCCTACATGAGTTATAATGACCAGACTCTCATGAAAGGATAAAAATGAAGTCCTGAGAGGTTTCCAAACATGAAAGGAGTGAAATTCCACTGAGGTTCTTGATCATCCGATGCAGAATCTAACAAAGGAAATGACTGTGAACGTGCTTAGCACCCCTTAAAGCCCCTCAGTCACTGTAGGACTATGAAAACATGGAGAATTTAGGAGGAGACAGGAGATTTTCTTGAGAGAGAGCTTTTGCCACGCTGTGTTTCCACAGTTTCAGGGTAGGAGGTGGGAGTAGGAATGCTACTCTCTAAACTCAAGCCAATGCAGGGTGCCTTCAAAGCCCTCCCTCAGAGCTTGAGATATGTTTCCTTCAGTTGATGATCACTGCAGAGTAGGGATGTCCATTTCCTTAAAGGAACTACACTAATCCACAAGGGTATATTCTACTGGAACTCAACAGACCAGCATCAGTATGCTGTATTTTACAATTCCTGTGCCATTCCACCTTGAATGACACACTATGCATGTCATCCATGTCGCAACTTAAGATGGACCACACCAAAGCCATATCTTTCCCACAGTCTCTTCAAACCACCTCCATTGTGGAAATGACCAGGCCTCACATTCTTCTAGCCCAATGTGCTAGATATCTCTTCAGCACTACTTCACCTACTCTTGGTATTACATTCTTATTCTAGCCATTGCTACAGCAATGTTTATCTCAGGCATCTACTAGCTTAGCACAGGTATAACCGGTAAGAGCCTTGCCTCAGATATGCACCCTAGTCTCCTTACTTTTGCCTCAGGGCTTCTTTGACTATGCAACATAGGACTCCTGCCGGAACCAAGCAAGATGCACGCTCAACACAGGAACACCAGTGAATTAATGCCTGGTGGGCAACTTTGATAACAGAGATCAAAAGCTGACAGATAAGTGCTTCTCCTCTCTGTTCCTCTCTGGAGAAGGGTTTTGAGAGCTTCACAAGGCTTCTCAGAAACTCCTGAGGACTGAACAATTAGTCACCGCTTGCAATGGCCAACTCAATAGCACATACTGGTATTGATTCTCCTTCCTTTCCTGTTCATTCCTGGATAAATCCTTCACCTATCAACCTCATCTGAGGCTCTGCTTTCAGGGAACCCAGATTAAAATATCCAATGACTAGGTTTTAGCTTCTGATCTCTGAACAAATGCTTGAATAAATTTCTTTACATGAATACACACAAGTATGCATATATACAACACACATATATACACAGTCCAAGAATAGGAAATAATATACCAGCAAAATGGAATCTAAATCCAAACAAAAAAAAATAACATTTCTCCCTAAGCCCAAAGTCTTTGGAAAACTAGCTCAGCTAAAGCATACCCCCAATTTTCATTGCTGAACAAAAATGTTTTATTCTCAGGATAAAATATACATTCAGGTGACTTCAAGGTTTTCCCTAAGAGCCAGGGGTGAGGATTTGCTTTATATTTGCATAACTCAAAGGCCCTAGAGATGGTTTTCCCAATCTGCCTAACTGAAAGTCAAGCCTTTACTTCCTGGATAACTGAAAACTAACTGAATACAGATTTTTAAATGTCCATTTTATTCTCCAGCTTCTTGACTTTAAGGTTTCAAAAAATCTTTAAGTCCCATCTCAACCCAGCCATCCTTAGGCAGATAATATTTTATATAATTCAGCTGAACTCCAAAAGTACTCTTCTAGTGGGGCGAGGTGCCTCATGATCCATGAGAAAAGAGAACAAGAAGTGTAGCTAGCTGTCACTTAAGTAGGGAAAGCTGCCCTTATATTCCACTGGCCAGATTGTAATCACATAGCCACAGCCAACTGCAAGGAATGCTGGGGAATGTAGCCTTTATTCCGAGTGGTTTTGTGCCTGGGGAAAGATTCTGAAAGAGTAGAAAGGTGTCTTAGAACTAGCAGTTTCTGCTACTGCCATCCACAGCACAACCTCTCCAACTCCAGCCCCAATCTGAAACTAGTACTCAACAGAGTAACTTCAGCCCTGCCCAAGAACAAACTTTCTGGAAGCACAAATTGACAAATCACTTTTCAGTCAGGGATCAAGAAGGTGTGGCCGGCGAAAAATCTCCAAGTCAATTTCTGACAAGTATTTGCAGGGTACGACTCAGAGGGGATGGAAACCCCTCTGAGTCCCAGTCTCGTCTAAAAACGGTACTTCCGTAAGTAGCGCGCGGGGCGGGAGGATGCCCCGGAAGTATTTCTATGAGACCCTACGTAGAAAAGATGGCTGCTGTACAAGTTGCGGGCTCCGTCCCTTGCAGGCAGCCGCGGGAAGCTCCGCGGGATGCAACCCCTGAACGAGGCAATGGGTTCCGCCGTTTGTCTGCCAGGCTCTGCGCCTTGCGCCCGGATGACAGCAGCTCCGCCCGCACCGAGATCCACCTGCTCTTAGATCAGCTCATCTCCGAGAACTACACCGAGGGCAGCTGTGTGGCTCCAGAGGTAGGCGGCGACCCTGGGAGAGAGCGGGTGCGGCTCCTGCTGGCCCCGGCCCAACCCCTCCGGGAACCCAGCTGGCTGCCTCCGCCCGCCTTTCTCTGTTGTTCCCATCCCTGCGCCTGATGATTTAGTTTCGGGCTGGCATGCTCACTCCCACCGTGGCACATCTTAGTTCTCCGTTTGGAAGACCTTGTGGTGCTTGGCACACTCGCGTCTTTCAAAACCCAACTTGAGGACTTCTGCTCTAATAATGCCTCAGGTGTCATCTCTGGTACCACCTTTCCATGCCCCCGCACCCTCCTCCACTCCCTCTCTGTGCATCCAGAACACTTTGTTGACAAAATGCAATACTACTGTTTATTGCGTACAGGATACACGGATAACGTGCTGTAAGTTACCACGGGCAATTCAAGGAATCTTAGAACGTGGGTAGTATTAGGTCTCTTTTGCCTATGAAAATACTGAAACTCTTAAAAAATCCAGTGTACGAAAAGTCTGCCTGCCACAAAAAAAAAAAAAAAAAAAAAAAAAAAAAAAAAAAAGTTTTCTGTTCCTACACACTAGCTCCTCCCCCTCTGCTGTCTTTCTGAGTAATCTTACATACATCAAGCCTTAAATTAATGAATTCTCTGAACTGTTGACACCAGGGCCTTTTGGCCCTACGTAGGAAAGCTGGAGGTGGTGCAAGTTGCCTGCTTGCACAGGCATCTCAAACTAGACAGTTCCTAAAGATGAAATTCATTAGCTCCAAACACACATTCCCGTCCCCAGCCCATCCCACCTTCCAGCACACACATTCACAATCCACCAAGTCACACAAGACATAAACATTGGTTCTTCCTTCATCCCAGGCCCTCTCCAATCCACATATTTCAGAATGTGTCTCATATATATTTCACAGTTCATGCCCTCCTGTCTATTCCCATAGCCAATGCCTTAGACTTCAGGCAAGGTGACTTATACCTGGATTGTTCCGCTGGTTTCCTCTAACTGATCTCCTGCCTCCTGTCTAGCTTCTCTCCAAATTGATCACAACATTTTAAATCTGCTTTGGAAAAATCTTCAGTACATATTGGTAAATGATTGAAGCAAGTTGCAGGACAATTCATACAGAATGAGATCAATACGGAGCTGGAGGAGGGATTTTAAAATATGTGTGTTTATATATGCAAAGCTAAGGTCTAAAAGAATTCACAACAGAATAATTGAGTATGTCATTAGGAAGCGGATTGAGATTAAGGCAATAGTCATGGGGGCTTTTGCTATATTTGTGTAATTCGATACTTTTGCAACAAAACTTTGTGCCTTTCCGTTCTCTCCTGTTACTCCCCCTTTTGTTCCTGTGTGCAGTCATTTAAAACTTGCTGTTCTTCAGGCACCTACTGGTGTTTCACATCTCCAGGTTTTTGCATGCTCTGTCTACTTTGCTTGCAGTGTTTTTAGATGCCCTGTCTGACAAATGTCTCCTCATTCTTCAAATCATTCCAGATTCTGCTTTACAGTCATCTCCGCAAGGCCTCCCTAATTACTGTTTCTGGACAGAGTTTGTACTTTATTCTTTCAGCACTTAATTCATGTTACTTTAATTATTTGTTGTGTTTTTTTCTCTCTCACTAGGTTGTAAGCTCTTTGAGGTTCAGGAACATGTTTGTTTTTACTTTGGAGTCCAAGGACCTAACACACCATGGCACATAGTAGGTGTTCAGAACATTGTCATTCAATAAACATCAATGGATGAATGAGTGACTTGCACATAGGTCCCTCTTTTTTTTTTTTTTTAATAATTCTTTAATTATGCATAAAATCCATAGAAGTGTTAGGTCTGATTTTTTTTCTAATGCCACTGAAAATCTGGTTCAGTTACTTTTTGATATTTTTAACTTTAGTTTGTGCTTTTATACCCTAGAGGCCTTTCTTTGGTTATTTAATTTTACTGTCTTTACATATATAGAGACCAGAGTCTTCAGTCTGACCAAAACCATACTGAATCTTTTCCGTATTTTTTTATTTTTTATTTTTTTATTTTTTTAAGAGACAAGGTCTCACTCTGTCATCCAGACTAGAGTGCAGCAGCAAGATCATAGTTCAATGTGCTCCTGGGCCCAAGCCATCCTCCTGCTTCAGCCTCCCAAGAAGCTAGGACTACATACCACCATATCTAGCTAATTCTTTTAAAAAGTTTATTTCTGTAGCGATGGAGTCTCACTATGTTGCCCAAGCTGGTCTTGGACTCCCGGGCTCAAGCAATCCTCCAGCTTTGACCTCCCAAAGAACTGGGATTATAGCCATGAGCCACTGTGCCTGGCCTTTTCCTTCCTTTTTTAGCACATCGTATTTTTGTGCTGTCACTTCATTGTTTTCCTTCTTCCTCACATTTTCTTTCCCCATTTTGAATGTGAATATTCACCTTTATTTTTTATTTGGCTGTGTTTTGAGGATCTTCACTTGGCTAATAAGTATTTTACCACTTCCTTATCTTTTTTTTTTTTGGTAGGATGTTAGTGCTCTTCTTGTCCAAGCTTGCCAACTGGTGCCTCTTAATCAGAATCATCTTGTCAGCAAAGTGTCCCAGCTTATCCACCATTTACTTAACAGATTACAGGTAATGTGTGTAACTTTAGAAATCAGATCATGAACTTTGATTAAAATACCACATCTGTAGTAGATATGATAGGCTGTTTTTTTGAGATGCTATAGGAAAAGCAAATGCCTTAATAAAAATGCTTTTAAAATAAATATAACTCTGATCCAAGAATAGATTATTCTGTAGAATTTTAGAAGTTTGTCTATTAGAAGTATGACTTTCGGTTTGGTTCAGTAAACCAGTATCATACAGGCCCCCCAACCTTATAATTTCTTATGGAAGATATATTTTAACAAAATACATCTAAGAATAAATTGAAATCATCCCCTACCTCTTTCCCATCAATATTTTTCCACTCACTTGCAGCTACCATTTTTGTGGTCTACTTTTGATGCTTCTAAAACATAAGAAGTAGCTTGGGGCCAAGGGGGCACCAGGATAAAAAGACCCTACTTATTTATTTAAGACTGTCACCACCTGAGTATGTGAATATATTTAAGAGCACAAAACATATCAACTAACGTTATGTGAATTAGGATGCTTTTGGCTGCAAGAAACAGAAAAGCCATCCCAGAGTCACTAAACAATTTTTTTTTAAAAAAAGAAAAAGGAATCATCACATGTCCCAAGTCCCAAGGGAGGCATATATAGCCTTTAATAATGAGAGGTTCATCTTTCCCTTCACCATCCTAAGCACGTGGGTTACCCTCAGCTAGCATCTCTAACAGTCATAAGATGGCTTCGCCAATTCTGGGCAGCCCATGCCAAAGAAATGATTAATGTTCAGTAGAAGCTAAATAACTATATTTTATGTTTTGTCACTTAGACTTAAGAGTAAGGAAACTTGTCCCAAAAACTCTCTAATAGACTACCAGTATCTTGCTGGAGAGACTTAGGTCATATAAATACCTCTCTAAACCAGTCTTTAAGCAGGAGAATGATCTTATTATGAATGGCTTCAGCTAGTAGTTTCAACCTTCACTATACATTACAATCACTTGGAGGCAGACTTAAGCTCCCTAGATGATTATAATGTGCAGCCACAATTGGCCTACATCAGAGTTTCTCAAACTCAGCACTATTGATATTTGGCTCACATCATTATCTTGCACATTGTGGAATGTTGAGCAGCATCCTTGGCCTCTACTCACCAGACGCCAGTAGCACCTCTCCAATTGTGACAGTCAAAAATGTATTCAGGCATTGCCAGATGTTCCTTGGGGGTTAAAAATTGCTCCAGGTTGAGACCCACTCTCTTAAACTCATTAGTGTTTACCCTTGGGTCTCACTTGGGAGAAGTGGACATACAAATTAAATTAGTACTCTGCCAGCAGGAAAGGAAGAAATGGATGCTGGTACCTAACCAACAGTGTCTGCTGCATGGAGTAAGCCTGTTTTCAGATTAGAATCCTTCAAACTAATATGGGGTAGCATCTGTATGTTTGCTATTCTCACATGTATCCTCTTTGTAACACTGGCAATTGGAGATGTTCCTGATCACCTGTGGCACCTGTAACCGTTTACCAGCTTTCTAGCATTTGGTGACAGTTTGTCTCAATTGTTCATGAATTGATACTTGGATTAGCCTGATCTGTCCCAACAAGATTATCAGCTACTTGACGGCAGGGATGTGCCCTCTCTCCATGGTGTGTTTCTCACATCATTTTATATTGATTCACTGTGTATTGGTTGAGTCTTTATTATGTATAAGGCAGTTTAATTGAATTAGATTTCAGTGCATTGAAATACTTATATCTGTGTATTCACAGCTACCAGTGTCTGGTTAGTTCAAGGAAAAGTTACAAGGACTTTACCAAGTTCTACTTTATACTAAAGAGGAAGAAGTGAGCAAGGCCTCTTGGGACAGGGAGAAGGCCCCTACGTTGATCAAACTTTCAGGCCCTTTAGAGGTGATCCTTTTGACACATAAATGACAGATACACACTCTCACTTTTATATAGCTTGATTCAGGTGAGCATACATGTCCATAAAAGCATAATATTTTTTAAAAGTTAGATCATATATATTTTTTCCTCTCCTGTTAGGTAATTGTTGACGAACAGCACTTGGATTTCCTGTTGGCATATACTATTTCAGCTATTCATCAGTGTAGTTCCTGGACATACATGGAAATTCTTCAAGCCCTGGCAGCTCTGGTTTACTGCAATGGCTCAAAATGTCAAAAGGTAGGTTAAGCTGTTCTATGTTTCCTTTTAAAGGCTAGGAGTACAGGTTCTGGAGCCAACACTGTTCAGGTTTCTATCTTGCCACTAATCTCTAGCATTTCGTATTCAACCACTCTGGGCCTTGTTTCCTCATGTATAAAATAGTTACCCTGAGGATGAAGTGAGAAAATACTTGTCAAGTTCATGGCCTTCAGTAAGTAGTAACCATTATTCTTATTATTACCGTTACCCATCAGCTATGTGGCCACACTAAAGAGCATCAGCAGCTACCTAGGCTGGTAGTAATGTTCCTTACTGATGCTTTTTGCCATATCTTTGCAGATCCATCGGTGACATTTACCTAATAGCTAGTGTTTTGGTGCTTAACTGCCATTTAGTTAAAAAAAAAGAAGAAATCTGTCTAAAACGTAATATTTTCCTAGAGGCTTTTCTTTGACCTACATTGACTGTTATTTTGTCTTAGTACCTCCCGGAGCTACTAGGCAAGACCGGACTCTTACTGAAGTTGAGTGGCTCGGCTCAGTCTGATCCTGAAGTCAGGAGAGCTGCAGTACATTGTATGGCAAACTTATGTCTCAGGTACGTGGCTCCAGTCAAGTTTCTCAATGGTAATAAGATAGTGCCTCTGTTGGGTCCTTTGTAGGTAGTTCCCTCTGCCTGAAGCCAGAGCCAGCTTAGAAAAATAACTAACTTTGCATTTCCCATGTACTTTACTAATAAAATCATATATTGTTTGTTAATTTTAATACTGTTTGTAAAGAAGGAAAAAATAGACTAGGACCATATTCCTAAAATATGGTAATAGTAATATAATGTGCAGCCTTTCAAATTTGTTTCCTATTGGCATACATTCTAAGTGTATTGAGTTTTTAGAAGAATATATTCATGCAGATTTAAGCACTGGTGAGATGTATCTGTAAAGGGCAATTTCTTTTCTTTGAAGAAGGTGGAAACAGACCCAGCTTCTCGCCCTAGATTCTCACAGTGAGCAATAGAAAACGAGCAGCACAAATGTGAACTTGTCTCTGCATAGCACAGTGCTGGCCAGTGAGTAGGAAGGCAGGTACAGCCGTGTGGTTCTAGCTTGACAGAACCTGTCTGCATTATTTCCCTCTTAGGACTGAACAGCAGAACTGAAACAAGGTTTTTCTTTCTCCATACTTTTTCTCCCACAAACATCTGTAACCTTTCTGTATGGAAAGCACTGTTCTTCCATATTCATTCTAGCCCTGTGCCTGTCCCCCAGCAGTAACTAATTAACCAAATAATCACCTTCCATAGCACAGTTGCATTCAAGGGTATATTCCAACTCTAATAGTCTGTATTACTGCTATTTTTAATTCTTAGTCTTTTGCAAGCCTCATTTCAAAGGAGACTGAGTTTGAGTTGTTTTCTCTATATGCATTTAGTGTGCCAGGACAGCCGTATTTGGAGGAGCCCTACCAAAATATCTGTTTCCAGGCTTTCCTGACTATTTTACAGTCTCCAAAATCATCTGATATGGATGATATCACATTTTGCATGGTAAGTGGACTGTCACTATCTAGTGAATGTTGTGGATGTGTCTAGAAGCAGAGTGGAAGAGTGTTACTAACGAGTTTAATTTGCACTATTAGCTTTGTCTAGAGAAATACACATATATGAAATGTTTGTAACCTAAAAAGACTAAAATCATACCATTTCAGTTTAAATTATATGAAGCTTTTTATTTGTTATGTTTTGGTTTTTAGAGGAAACTATTCTTTTTTCTTCTGAGTATAAAAGCAATACAGTTGCAGGCTAGCAACTGTCTTTGAGATAAAGGGGAAGAGAGAGTTTAACAATATCTGCGATATTTTATTTCTTTTTTAAAAAATATGCAAATGACAGTTTGTTAACATCTTTTAAATTTAGAGTAACACATTTCAAATATTATAAATGTAAGATAAAGTTTCTTCTAGTCTCCTGCTCAGATATAGCCACTGAAGATAATTGTGCTATGTGCCCTCAGATTTTTTTTTCTATATGTAAATAAGTGTTTTACGACTTTAAATGGGATCATATTTAACATGCTGTTTTGTAACTTTCCAGTTTTGTTAAAACTTAATATCTCTGGGACATCTATTCAGTACCTGTTAATATACCTTATCCTTTCTAACAGCTGTGGCTGGAAAACCTTGGACAAATTACTTCTTGGGCCTCCATGTTCCTCCCTGAAAAGGGACTGATATAACCACAGTGTGGGTTCTAATGAGAAGTATATGAAATAAAACATTCAAAGGGCCTGCTGTTACTGTTGTTGAGTTTTACATTTAGCAGAGGGCTTCTTTTATAATCATTACAATCATCAAAATTGAAGTTTTCTTCAGTTCCTCTGCTATTTCAAACAAGGCTACAGTTCACATCATCCCAATGTAGGGAGTATTTCTTAAGGACAGAGTTCTAGAATTGAGATTACTGAGTTAAGAAATCAATGTTGGTCAGAATTGCCCTCCAGAAACCAAGTTTTTATCATTCATCATCTGTTCCCACATACATCCCTTTGCCTTTAAGAGCTGCTGGGGTTGCCATATTACAGAGCATTCCCACTTCTGATCTGTGCTATCTCTTTTTTATCCCTTATCACATTTTTCTTGCTAAATATCTTTTCTCTTTTTTTCTTACTCACCATTTGTACATACTGATTTGTAAACATGTACACTAAGGCCACTTCATTACTCTTTTCTTCTAGAAAAGAATTCATGGTAGTTTATCAGGTCTCTTTGGATCTTCATCTCTGTTTTGTGTATATGTGTGTGTGTCTAAAGGTTTTTTTATCATCCAGAGACTGTCTCTATTCCATCCTAAGTGGTGCTAGTAAGTCGATTCCTGGACAACCAGATTTTATTCTGCCTTCTAACTGGGTCTCCCTTTCCCCTCTAGTTGTTGCAAAATGCTTTAAAAGGTATACAGTCACTTCTAAATGGTGGGAGAATGAAACTAACACAGACTGATGAACTTGGAGCACTTTTAGCTGTGCTAAAGGTAAGGCAAGTCTTCATATGATCATTTTCTTTCCTGTTTCAACCCATGGTACAAGGACCACTTTACATCCTTATTCTAAGGTTAACTTTAAGGTATTCAAAGTTCTTACATATATTTTAAGAGAGTAGACCAAAGTGTTCATATTCAAAGATGTTTAATAAGAACAGAAAATAATAAATTTCCATTTAATAAATGTGTCAAAATTTAAAAATTATCTATGAATCTTAGGAAGGGAATAGGTAGGGGGATATTACCTGTAGAAGATTTAATTATAGATTATGTCGTACCTATTTGTACTTGCAAGAAGAGCCAGTGCTTCTCCTTGCCTTTCTCCTCCAAGTAGTAGGCAGGTCAAACAAGACGTGTGTCAGTGGGCAGCTTCCAACCATGCTAGTCAGTCAGAAAGTCAGGCCAGCATCTGGGGACCCAGCTTCTTCAGCCAGCGAAGTAAGAAGCAGCAATTCTTTCCTCGTGCCATTCCCTTGCTCCTACATCAAAAAGCGAGATAGATAGCTAGATGTGGAGATAGGTAAATAAAAATGATAAATTGGTTTAAAAAATTATAGATAGATATAGATAAATTTTATAAATAAATAAGGAAACTAAAACCAGACCTGATCTGGTCTGACCAAACCAGATCCAGCTGGAGGCCAGATCAACTTAAGCTCTTCTTTAAGCCCTATGCCTTCGAGGTATCTATTTTCTGTCCCATTTTTATTTCCTTAGTTGGCTTTTAAACATTAATCTGTTAGTGTTCTGATCCAGACATGGTGAATGGTTCTGTTTCATGATTAATGGTTTTTTTTGTTTTGTGTGTCTTTGTGTGTGTGTGTCCTTATTTATCATTATTAGAAATCCATGTTTCATGGACTCCCTGGACTAAACATAGAGATGCCCACGGTGTTATACCCAACTCCACTTCCTCAGTATGATGGGCGAACACCTATCAAACCACAGCAATCAGAATCCAGTACTTCTCGACCAACTTTGGTACATTTATGTTTATTTAGATTTAAGTTGTGGCTTATTTTTAATAGATTGCTGTGTGTGTTTTCTGTAATTTTCATCACTACTACCCTAAAAGCCTACCTTGAATTTTATTTCATTTTAGGGTTGCTAGCGTAATTCAGCTGATGCTCACAGTACCAGTTAAAACATCTTATACCTCTTAGAGGTGTAGTCAGTCTAATAGCTATAAAAATGAGCTTTCACTTTATACCCCACACCAAGCATTTTCATCCCCACGATGCTCAAGACCAGTAGTCAACAAACGTTTTCTAAACTTTCTCTGCAAGGCTAGTAAATACTTTAGGTCTCTGTCATAACTACCAACTCTATTGTAATAGTGCAAAAGCAGCCATAGATACAATGTAAATGAATGGGCATGACTGTGTTTCACTAAAACTTTATTTACAGAAGCAAGCTATGTGCTGGGCTGGATTTGCTTTTGGGCCATAATTTGCCAGCCCTTCTCTAGACCATTAGAAGCCCACCTACCAGTCAGCGCTCCATCTTCACACTCCTCACATTCACCTGATTTCCCAGCCTTTCCAGATAGCTGCCATCTCCCTCGTGCTTCACTTGGAGAACCTGGAGCATACAGATGGATGGCCAAGGATTCACATCCAGAAGTGTGAATTTCTGATCAAAATGCTTCTCATTAGAAATGATTTCACTCATTCACTCAGTTAGCATTTACCCAACATCTGCTGTGTTCCAGACACTGCGCTAAGCATTAAGAATATGGACTCTGGCTGCTTTTAGGAGTTTGAGAAAGAAGACAAAGATGGATAAATAAGCAGCTATAATGCAATATTATTGTGTCTCTCATCAGAATATTCACAGAGTACTCTGGGAACACATTGAGGCCATCCAGTCTAAATGGAGGAGAAACAGGAAGCTTTTTAAAAGATGTGGTAGCTAAACAGAGATTTCAGAGTGAGTAGCAGCACAGAGAAGGAGGGATGAGTGTTTCAAGCAGAGAAAACAAAACGTGCATAGAAACAGAGAATGAGAGTATATATTGCCCATTCGTTAACTAGTCAGTCTAGAGTTTCAGAAAGGGGAGAGGAAGAGTGGAGCTGTTGTGTAGCAGAGGCTGAATGATAAGGTTCTTGTACAGGAGGCTGAGGAGTTTGGGTTTTTATCTTGTAGGCAATAGAGATTCATTAAAGAATAGTATATAGAGGAATGATGTGATCAGATTTGCATCTTAGAAAAATCACTGTGGTAGCAAATAAAAGAGTATGGATCTGGGGCCACAGTAAGTAGTCCAAGGTAAAAGTAATGGGAACTTCCTTCCTCAATGCTACAGACTTTGAGAACGTGGAGAAAGACACAAGATTCCAGAGATAGTTGGATGTCAGAAAGAAAGGGAGAAAGAAAGAAACTGGCTTCTACTTAGAATCTACTTCTCTGGAGACCCAAGGCCCCAAAATATGCATTGTATGTAATGGATTACCGTCTCTCCTGTGCAGGCATGTAGAGTCGTATTAGCTATATATGTTATTTGGAGAACTGATAAAATAGACACTCAAGTCATTTTCTGTAGGCTTTAATGCTCTTGAGGAATTCCAGCTGAGAAGGCTGAATACTTTCACAACACCTATGCAAGGTAAGTGGTATTGGCCTCATACTTACAGATAAGCAAGGTTAAGCTCAGAGAGGCTAAATGACTTGCCCCAAGTCACAGAGGTGCAATTTGAACCCAGGCCATATGTTTTACTCTGTCTCATGTATCTTATACCTTCCTTCTTATAGGAGAGAGTAAGTACTTAGCATCGTGCCTGATGCTTAGGGTATTAAAGAAGTTCCACTTTTTTCTTTTCTCTTGTCTTCTTTAAACTACATGTTGGGGACATATTTAGTCACTTTCAAATGAAGAAGTAACGATTCAGTTAAAAGCCATTCTGAAGTAGCTATTATGTATGTCTTCATTTGCTTCTAAAATCAGAATAAAAAGAAAAAATCCAAAGTAAAACCAAAGAAAATCCAGCAAGGAGAGGAGGAGGAGGAGGAGGAAAAGGAATCCAGTGGTGAAATAGAGGCAGCCCCAGTCACTGGCACAGGCAGAGTGAACCTGCATGAAGGGAATACTTGGTGTCCCTCCTCCCTGGGTGTCCAGAGTTTGCCTTTAGATGGAAGTGGAACTGCAGGAAAAGATGGAGTCTCCTCACCCTTCAGTTCTTCCAGTTGGAAAAGGGTCAGCAGTAGTGAGTCAGACTATTCTGATGCTGAAGGAGGCATGCAGAGTAAAATGAGGTAGTAGTATTTTGTTACATTTTTATACCTTGTATTCTAAGTTGCATGTAAGTTTATAGCTTTGCTGAAAAACCTGACTGCTGCATGTGATTTAACTTGAAGAGCCTCATTTCTGTGGGGCATGACGTTACTCTGAACATGACTTGCTTTCTTGATCTGCCATTCCACATGTCATTACTCTCCTTAGAATATTCTTGACTTCTGTGCCTTTTTGTCTTGCTAACTACTACTCATCTTTGATATGGGCTCAGAAATCATGTTCCCTGGGAACCCTTTTCTGCTTTAGTGTTATTCTTAATCTATTATTATAATTACTTCCTTAACTTCCCCCCACTGCCGAGCTTGTCAAGGCAGGGTCTTTTCTATGTCTGCCAGCCTTAGCATGATGCCTGGGACATACCTAGGTCATTCAACAGATATTCGTTGGATGGGTGGATGGATACTTGGCAGTGTTTTGTGTCTAACACTAGTTTCCTGATATCAAAATGTTGCCCTCGTGTTCTCTAGTTGTGTTTTTTAATTGTCAGCCTTAATAACTTGTTAAAGAAACAAGTTGTCTTAACATGTTTTGATTGTAGTTTGAAAGAAAAGTTTTTCATAACACATTGACATCCTTAGGGATTATTTAGAATGTTTAATTTTTGAAGGTATCATTTGAATTGGTGTAAATAAATACCATTTCATGTTTGCATTTAAAAAAAACTATGTTTAAACTTTTTTTCTTTTTTCTCTTGGATGTAAAAGGTCTTACCAAGCCAAAGTTCGCCAAGGAGCCTTAGTTTGTTTTCTTTCTACTATAAAATCTATAGAAAAGAAAGTTCTTTATGGCTACTGGTCAGCCTTTATTCCCGATACGCCTGAACTTGGAAGCCCACAGTCAGTGTCCTTGATGACTCTTACATTAAAAGATCCTTCTCCAAAGGTAAGAGAATTTTAATTCTAAGCTTTATAATAGGAAGAAAAAATGTACAGATCCTCGTTGTTCTTGTTGTTTTTGTTTTTCGAGACAGAGTCTCACTCTGTCACCAGTGCAGTGGTGCGATTTCCGCTCACTGCAACCTCCGCCTCCCAGGTTCAAGCAATTCCCCTCCCTCAGCCTCCCTAGTAGCTGGAACTACAGGTGTGCACCGCCACACCCGGCTAATTTTTGTATTTTTAGTAGAGACGGGATTTCACCATGTTGGCCAGGATTGTCTCCGTCTTTTGACCTCCTGCCTGGGCCTCCCAAAGTGCTGGGATTACAGGCGTGAGCCTCTGCGCTTAATGCCTTGTCCTATCTGATCTGAATACAGCTCTCAGTAACACTGACCCAAGTTCTGACTTGAGAACCACTAGAGAAGCAGGAAAATAGAAAGTGGGCTTATGTGAATAATGCGCTGAGGGTGACCATGTAGGGTCGCTTCCTGCTCCAGGGCTTGCTTGAAGCCTGAGCACACTGAATTATAACTTGGATGTCTCCCTTGAACTGCACTGAAGCAGCCATGCATCTCTTCCTTTTATGAAAATGTTGATTGCTGTGGTATTTATAGCAAGAAAACTTCAAAAATGGCTTAAACAACTCAGTAGAATATCATGGTACATAATGGCTTTGAAGGATGCATAAGGCTTAGAAAAATGCTCAAAATGTTCTGCGAAAACACAGGATATAGAATTATATATTATAGCAGGATCCCAAATGTTTTTTTCTTGGAACTTTTCCATAGTTTTCAAATCATATGTAATAAATATTTACATATTTTATGAGAAAAATTTATTTTTAAAAAAGAGGAAAAAACTATTTGGTAGGCATGGATACATATAGCAAGATATCTCATGACTGATCAGATATTTGCCTCTGCTTAAATATGTTAATTCCTCTCCAGAAGTTAGCCACTTAACCAAGTAAGGAAACAAGACTGCTGTTTACAATAGTGGACATTAAAAAGCCATGCTGAATGGCATCTGGGTGTCCTCAGGTAACCAACTACCCACAAAGAGAGAAGTTTTAATTAGGCCAACAGCATATTGTTCCTTTCCTATTTTTAAGATTATTCCTTAAGGGGTCGGGGTGGTAACCCACAATACCTTGGAATTCCAAATGAGTCATCTCCTTGAGTAACTAATTACTATGTAAGAAAACTTCTGGATGACCCATCAGAAGCTTTTACAAGTAAAGAAAAATAAGTTAGCCTCAATTCTACACATACACAAAAATGACTTGTGGGGTATTTCAAATACTCATGATCCTAAAAAAATTAAATCAGCAGATATTTTACAAATTAACTAAACCAATAGTGAAAGAGAACCTGGGAGAAAAATGGAAAATGAGTGGTGGCAAATAAATCAGTAATGAAGCCATTAGAGTAACTGAAATAAAAACTACTAAAAATATTGAAAATGTATGTTTGAAGACTCTTCAGCTAGGGGAGCTGCCAGCAGTGGCCCAGGAGATGGTGCCGTGGAGCAAGAAGCCGTCCAGCTTCATCACCTGCATCGAAGCTGCCCAGCCAAGGGGATGTGGGACGTGGGGGTTTGGAACATGAATACCAAGAGGTTATGAGGTCATCGCTGATAAAAATGAATTGGAATAATTTCATGATATTTATATCTTCATTTTTTTAATGTTTACATTTCACTTTAAATGCCATGAGAAATTTCACACACTGCAAAGTGGTCTTATCCATCTCCTTGATTTAAGTACCTTTTAGACATGTTCTTGCTGTTTAACCTTGGTGAATGCAAGAGATGTACTGAGGAAGAAAGATACAGAACTTCCTTCTGGAGATGTCCTAGATCCAGTACAAAAAGCCACCTGAAAATCCTGGAGAAATGAAAAAAATAAAACAGTCATCCTACTTAAAAAGGATTTTAAAAGATGAAATAAATTAAATTAGTTCAATATAATGGCAAGTGAAATGATTGTACTTAAGAGATTTTTTTTTTAATCAAGCGTTAGCTTGGAAGGGTGTAAATAAGTGTGGTGATTATTGTTTACAACAAAGCTTGGAGCATACCTGTACAGTCTGTCCATAGTATAATTAACTGTGTACCAAGACACACGCTAGAAGAAAGTGTTGTGATAGGTGATGTCAGTGGGACAGGCTTTTTAAATAAAGCCTTCTAGAAAGTTATGTGCATTAAAATTAAAAATAGATTATCTGATTAGAATGGAACAGCATTCTGGATTGACCAGATTAAAAGAGCTGCCATGACTCCAGGCCAAGTGGTCATCTCAGGTGCTCCTTGTGCATGTAGAGTTAGATGTCTGGATTTCCTCTTAGCCAGGATTAAACAAAACAGCAATACTTTATCTTGTCGTTGAAGTGCTTAGTGATTAGTTTTGAGTTTATGATAGGTCTGATATGACCTATGGCATACTCAACTGGAAGCACAGCTTTAACTGGTTTACTACGAAAGTTTCCAAAGAGAAATGGACAGAAGAAAAGGTGATTAGATTGTTCCAGTCAGAATGCCAACAATAAACAGAGGCTACTTTTGGGAATTTGAAACATAATATGCTAGAATGGTTAACTGGGGAGAAGAAAACTTAGAAATGTCTATTAGGATTTGGCAGTGTTGTGGTACTTAGGAAATAATCACACTTCTATGTTGGAAATGTACTTCAGAAAGCACATCTTATAATATGCTTCCGAAAGGGACAGAGCAAATTATCAATAAAAAGAACAGGACTAATTTAAGAATTTCTTTTATATGATTTTCTTAGTTGTTATAAAGGCATATTATGGAGAATATCTTCAAGACTTTGTCTAAGGAACAAATTACAGGGCAAACCTTTGTCTTGGTACCTTGAGAATTATCCTGATTTACAAATTTCATGATGATGATTTATTTAATGATGACGATGCTCTTTTGGATAACTATAAAAAGTGAAAACAAATCAAAATCTAGATGATAGATAGTATAACTAGAAAAGAGAATGAAAGATTGGAATTGTTAACTGTTATGGAGTGGTAAATTTTCTCTCATACGGCCAGCCAAGAACAGGCAGTCTTTGCTTAGTGTATTAGTTCGTATTCATGCTGCTGATAATGACATGCTGGAAACTGGGAAGAAAAAGAGGTTTAATTGGACTTACAGTTCCACATGACTGGAGAGGCCTCAGAATCATGGTGGGTGGCAAAAGGCCCTTCTTAACATGGTGGCAGCAAGAGGAGATGAGGAAGAAGCAAAAGTGGGAACCCCCGATAAACCCATCAGATCTCATGAGACGTATTCACTATCACGAGAATAGCATGGGAAAGACCGGCCCCCAGGATTCAATAACCTCCCACCCCAGTGGGAATTAAGATTTGGGTGGGGATACAGCCACAACACATGGGAATTAAGATTTGGGTGGGGAGACAGCCAAACCATATCACTTAGATAACTTCCGATCCAGAGTCCCTGACACAATGTTGAAATGCCTTTACGTAAAAGACAACTGACTTTGGGAGTGATATCTAATATAATTAACCCTGAAACGTGGACAGCCAGGTGCCCTGCATGGAAACTTCAATGGTACCCACTCCCATCAGGGACTTCTTTGTCACCCTTCCAGAAATATTCTGAGACCTAACACACATAAAGAGGAAAAAAAATTAGGATTGACTAAGCTACCTCAGCAAACATTTCTGCTACATTCTTAAATAGCAAAAAAAGGAAAAGTACCTTTCTGTTTTATTAGCTTTAGGCAAGCCTTCATGTCCAAGGAGATGAAACTATACAGTAGTAAAACCAAGCACACTGACGTTTGTAAGACTGCACACCTTTCATCCATCATTTTAAATATTCAGACAATAAAAACTTAATAAACAAAATGAGCTCTCTGGAGAGCTACACCTATTATGATTTGCCTGCACATTAGTAATCTCTGCTGAAAGTGCTGATTAGAACTGGTAAAGAAGATATTAAACATTGATATAAATATAAATGAAGCAAAACATGTACCAGATTCAATATCTTAAGTAACAATGATAACAAAGATATGTTAAACAGAGTTTAAAAGAAATTAACTCAGAACTGTGAAAAGTATAATTTGATATAATATCAAATTTCTATATAGATTTTATATCTTAGTGGAAAAAAATAACCAATTTCAATGACATTCGTTTTCGTTTGTTAAGATGCCAAAATAGTGCTAAAATTTTTGACTCTTTGAAATTAGTTTGTTTCTTTCCACAACTCAATTTTTAATTTTATTCGGTTTGTGAGCTGTTGGAATTGTGGGTTTTTAAGTGTCTTCTAAAGAAATGAAGGTTTAGCATAAGATCTATCTTGTAGAGTTCAGACCAGCCTCTAGTAGGGATTGGCCAACTATGACCTCTAGGCCAAATCTGGCTGCCCGTTTTGGTATAACCTGTGAGCTAGGAACAGTTTTTACACTTTTAAATGGTTTCAAAATAATCAAAACAATAATATTTCATGATATGTGAAAATTATATGGAATTCAGATTTCATTGTCCATAAATCAAGTCTTTTTGGAACATTAGCCACATTTATTCCTGTATGTGTCTGTGGTATGATCACAGAGTTGAGTGGTTGTGGCAGAAACTGGCCTGCAAAGTCTAAAATATAAAATGTGTACTTTTGGCTATTTTGTTTTTTTTTTTTTTAGATGGAGACTCTCTCTGTCAACTAGGCTAGAGTGCAGTGGTGTGATCTTGGCTTACTGCAACCTCTGCCTCCCAGGTTCAAGCGATTCTCCTGCCTCAGCCTCCTGAGTAGCTGGGATTACAGGCGCATGCCACCACGCCCAGCTAATATTTGTATTTTTAGTAGAGACGGGGTTTCACCATGTTGGTCAGGCTGGTCTCGAACTCCTGACCTTGTGATCTGCCCACCTCGGCCTCTCAAAGTTCTACAATTACAGGCATGAACCACCACGCCCAGAAAAGTTTGCCAGCCCCTGATCTAAGTCCTTCTTGGATCAGCTGACTTGTGTTCGTGCTCTCACTCTCTTGTTCTTTCACACATACACACGGTTTCCTAATACATTGTCAATGTCCTACCTTAGGGGATTATGCTTCATTCTGAAGTCTGATGGTACTGTACTTCAAATTTGTTTGCAGAGCAGTAAGTCTAGATTTCTGCGATTCCACTCTATAAAAGGACTGCCTGGTGACTTATTACCTGGTCATTTGGAGATAATATAATTGAAGACTTTCCAGAAAATCTTTTTTGCTTTTGCTCCGAACTCAGATGACGCTTCATATTGAGTAACTACTTAGGTTAGGTTCTAGAATTGTATTGTTGATTTTCTGGTTTTTTTTTAATTGAAAATGTTAATTTTCATTTTTGGATGATCTGGCCAAAGAGAATACAGTATTATTTCATATTAATAGTCCTGTGCTTGTTACCTGTATTCCATTTTTTTGTTAAGTTGGGCTTTTTTTCATTTCTGATTTTCAATAATGCAAAATCATCAGAGTACCAATTGAAAGTCATCTTTCAACCTTATAAAGAAAATCTTGCTGCCAGCGACACCTTTCCTAACAAATACGTGGTCCATGTCCTTTCCATTAATAAGATTGTATTTAATGGTATTCCTTTCTTTAATTGCCAAATGCTGTCACTCCAGGCAGTGTTATTTCCTGTGCCTAAGACTGTGTCTAAAAGTTGGATTACTAACGATGCCTGCCAAGTTGTATGTACACAAAGTTCCTAAAGTCCTATTTAAGTTAACATTGAGCACACATGCTTCACAGTGGAATATGAGGCACAGTGTTCTCAGGAACTTTGAAATGAAACATACTTTAGGTACGTGTATTTTTTTCTACCCCATGGGCTGTTTAGTTCTGACTTTTCACTTATTCTGCTTGAATAAACCAGGCCTCTAATCCTTAAATTATTCTCATACTTAGGATTTCAGATCTTTGTGGTATGATGTAACTTGGATTTGTTTCTTACTCTAAGAAACCTAATAGCAATGTGTTCCTGGATTTTTTTTTTTTTTTAAGCCAGGTGTGATGGCACACACCTTTAGTCCTAGCTACTTGGGAGGCTGACGCGGGAGGATTGCTTGAGCCCAGGAGTTTGAGGCTGCAGTGAACTATGATTGCGCCACTGCACTGCAGCCTAGCTGACAGAGTGAGACTGTGTCCCTAAAATAAAAATAAAATAAAGATGATTTTTTTTGGTGTGGGATGCAAGTGGCCTAGTTTTTAGGAACTAACAGATAATCCCATTGCCTTTATTCTTCCAACTGAAATGATTCCATATACTTTGAAAATTAAGTATGTATCTAAAGAATGGAATCTGACTCCTGATTTTTAACTAATCAATGTGCATCATCCCAAAATTTCAGACACGTGCCTGTGCTCTGCAAGTTTTATCTGCCATCTTGGAAGGTTCAAAGCAGTTTCTTTCTGTTGCTGAAGATACCAGTGACCACAGAAGGGCTTTTACCCCCTTCTCCGTAATGATCGCTTCCAGCATTAGAGAGTTGCACAGGTGTCTTTTGTTAGCTTTGGTGGCAGAGTCATCCTCACAGACCCTTACTCAGATAATTAAGGTAATGTACCAACTGTGGGTTCCAGAGGGGGCTTCTCTGTTTTAATTTTGTAGACTGTTTTAATAGCCCAAAAGTGACTTGACTTAAAATATAACTAACTAATAACTTTATTAAAAATACCCTATTTGGAAGTCTGTACCTACTTGTCTGATCTTATCTGTAATCTCTGTATGTCCTAATAAATGATTTATTAAAAATACTTCAACTTTAGTTTTAGTTGTACCAAGGAGAATGCAAGTGTTACTTAAAAGAAAAAAAAGGACTGATTTTTAGTTGTGTGAAAACTTTTTAAATTAAATGCTGTAAAATTTGTTTCTATGCTGTGGTTTAATCAAGCCTTTTGATGAGCTGCTTTTTGTGTTTTACAGTGCCTTGCAAATTTAGTATCAAATGCACCTTATAATCGTCTAAAACTCAGCCTGCTGACCAAAGTCTGGAACCAGATAAAGCCTTATATCCGCCACAAAGGTTAGTAGTGGCTTAAAACTGATTGCTTCTTTTTATCAATCAGATGCAGAGTATTAGCAAAAATATTTAGATATATGTATATATTCAGAACAGTTTTACAACTCCTAAGAGATCTCTACTTACTCTTCTCAACTTTTCAGAGTATTAGCTATTGCAAGAATCCCACTTTTGACCCCTCAAGCCACAGTGGAAGAGAGCTAGAGAATTAATTGTAAATTTTAATGCCTGTTTAATGCTCAGGGCAGTGACCAGAGTATCCCTTTAGAATTAGGGCTGAGCAGGCCAGGCACGGTGGCTCACACCTGTAATCCCAGCACTTTGGGAGGCCGAGGCAGGTGGATCACGAGGTCAAGAGATCGAGACCATCCTGGTCAACATGGTGAAACCCTGTCTCTACTAAAAATACAAAAAAATTAGCTGGATATGGTGGCACGTGCCTGTAATCCCGGCTACTCAGGAGGCTGAGGCAGGAGAATTGCCTGAACCCAGGAGGCGGAGGTTGCGGTGAGCCGAGATGGTGCCATTGCACTCCAGCCTGGGTAACAAGAAGTGAAAACTTTGTCTTGGGGCGAGGGGGGGAAGAATTAGGGCTGAGCCAGGTGCAGGCAGCCCCCCTCAGGTGTATAATAGTTTATATCCCTTAGGCGTAGGTAAAGGATGGATGGATGGTTGGATGGACAGACAGACAGACGGATAGATAGATATTATCTACTTTTGGGAAAGAAAAACTGTTATTTCCAGTGAAGTTCAGATAAAATTCCAGAACTTCAAATCCTTACTAACTGCAGAGTCTTATTTCTTATTTCCTCCCATACATGATGTATATGTGCTATAAATACTTTGCTTTTGAAGATTTCTTTTCTTTTGTTTGCAAGCTTTCAGATCAGACCACATTCTAATGAGTTCAGCTTTTCAGGCAGAATTATAAGAAGAAAGGAAGAGTGGATGTTTTCTGTGACTTTGTGGGAAGAACATGGGACCTGAGGTCAATCCAAGGGTCTGGAGCCCACCCCTATTTTTGCCATCTGATAGCCATGGCCCTCTCTGAACCCTGATTTCTTTCTAATAGCAAGAATTATAACTACATCATAAGATTTTTATGAGGACTCAAATCAGATAATGATATGTAACTAAGTCCATTTCACTGCTTACACCAATGTATAAAAAAGGGACTTAGAAAGATAAGTCTTACCCTAAGGTTTCCCATCACATTCATGGCAGAAGTAAGATGAAAACAATCCAAGTTGTTTTCAACAACCCCTGGTCATTCCACTGTACCAGCTTTTCATTATCTGCATCTTCAGCTGAGGAGAATGCACCATGTCTCAGAGGTTCCTTTTAAGTATCTGATCTTATCCTCAAGTAACTTTTTTTTTCATTAAAATGTTCAAAATCTGAAATTTTTAGGTATGAGTCTAACAAAATGTGTTTAAGATCTGTATGAAAAAACTGTGCAATTAAAGAAGAAATAAATGAATGGACAGAGATTCCATGTTCATGGATAGGAAGGCTCAATATTGTAAAGATGTTACTTCTTCCCAATTTGATCTATAGATTCAATGCAGTCTCAATCAAAATTCCAGCAAGTTATTTTGCAGATATCAACAAACTGATTCTGATGTTTATGTGGTTAGGCAAAAGACCCAGAACAGCCAACACAATATTGATAGAGAAGAACAAAACTGAAGGACTGACATTCATTCCCTGACTTCAAAATTTACTATAAACCTACAGTAATTAAGACAATGTTATTAGCCAAGGAAGAGACAAACAGATCAATGGAATAGAATAGAGAGCCCAAAATAGACCCATATAAATAAAGTCAACTGATCTACAACAAAGGAGTAGGCACTCTTCAACAAATGATGCTAGAACAGCTGGATATCACATGCAAAAAAAGTGAGTCTAGACACAAAGCTTTTAGTTTTTTGAAAATAGCTTCTTGTTAAAATCTGGGGTTCATTCAAGGTGCATGCATTGCAATTTAGTTATTATGTCACTGTGAGTCTTTTTAAATCTAGAGTCCCTCCACCCATTTTTTTATATCAAACTGATTTACAAAAGAATACAAGCCAATTGTCTTATAGATTGTAAACTCTAAGTTCTGTCACCAAAGGTAACAAAATAAATCACATTCTCCATTTGTCAGATGGTTTCTTTATGGTGTTAACTTATTCTCCTGTCCCGTGTATTTCCAAACTGGAAATGAGGTCTAGAAGTTTAATTAGATTCAGGTTACACAAGGAACTACTAATTCTTAATTGCCTGCAGGGATAACTACCATCTTTATGGTAGCTGTTCCCATGGTGATAAATTTCTTCTGCTTTCCTTTGACAGATGTTAATGTTCGTGTGTCAAGTCTCACACTCTTGGGAGCTATAGTGTCCACCCATGCACCTTTACCTGAAGTCCAGCTACTTCTGCAGCAGCCGTGTTCTTCTGGACTCAGTAATAGCAATTCAGCAACCCCTCACCTCTGCCCTCCTGATTGGTGGAAGAAAGCCCCTGCAGGACCCTCTCTGGAAGAAACATCAGTTAGCTCACCTAAGGGGTCTTCAGAGCCCTGCTGGCTCATTCGACTCTGCATTTCCACTGTCATACTGCCCAAAGAGGATTCCTGTTCAGGTAGCGATGCTGGCTACGCAGCAGGAAGCACCTACGAACCATCCCCCATGCGACTGGAGGCCTTGCAGGTAGGAGGTTTCATTTCCTCATCTCTGAAATGTAAGTAACCATTCTTCAGAGTGACCGTGAGGAGTGAGCAGGTAAAACCAAGCCATGTATCAGTCATGTTGGTGGGAGGTGTATTTTAGGTATGGGTGGTGTATTTGTTTTTGTTGTTGTTTTGTTTTCGGGAGGTGTTCCTTGGTTGTAAAAGAGCAGATTCATTCCTTTTTGTTCTTTGATTGCAAATTATTTTACTCCAATCATTATATGACAGGTGGATGTAATAGATTGTAGAACAATTCTGTGAAAAATTACACAATTAATTTTTGATTTTTGCAACTTAAATGTTTAATTCTCTTTAAGCTTCTCCTTGGTGTTGTATCTGCTTAGAGAAACAAAATAATTGTTCCTTCTAAGGAAGAAATCCTAAATAAAAGAGTTTGCTTTTTGTATACAAATATGATCTGAGACTAGGCCTGGTCCTGGGGTCTGCTGCTAATTAACTGGACAACATGAAACATGTCCTTTAACCTTGTCAGGCTTAGTTTCTTTAGCTGTAAAATTCAATTAATACCTACTTTAAAGAATAGTTTCAAGACTTAAATGAGATTACATTACTGAACAAACAGTCCTATACTAAAGCACCATAAAACTGATACAGTCAATTGATGTTATGAAATAAAGATTATGGTTTTTAATTTCATTCAGTAGATTTCAGCCCTGTTTCTGAAATCTAATAACACTTTTCTGGATATTGCAGCCTTGCACTTGGGTCTTAGAGGGTTAATTCCATGCTCTCTTTGCAGGTATTGGCTCTTCTGGCAAGGGGCTACTTTTCAATGACTCAAGTCTACTTGATGGAGCTTGGAGAGGTGATTTGCAAGTGCATGGGGGAAGCAGATCCATCCATTCAGCTTCATGGAGCAAAGGTAATTTTCCTTCTCTTCACTTTAAATCCTTCCTTTACTTCACTTTATATTCTTCTGCCACATGTCCTCCAATTCTGAGATTTCTTAAAGGGTTTTCATGTAAGGAAGACATACATTCTTCTGTTTTCAGCTCTTACATGTAAACCCCAAGAATTAATTCAGTAACACATTAACAATATATAGCTGTTGATTTTAGTCCTTGAAAGAATGCCTCTTGAAAGAATGCACAGGGAGACTGTGCAAGTGTAACAGCACAGCCTCTGAAGATTGGCTCGGGGGGAAGAGATGAAGTTATTTTCATCCTTTTTATTTCCAATCAGGATATAGAAAAAAAAAATGCCTCTGTTAAAAGAGTGACTGAAAAAAGAAAGAAAATTAGCTGCAAATTATGTTTCCCCTTGATTCAAGGTGATCTCCAAACTAAAGTTAAGTTGTTAGTTCTAATACTCTGCTTTGATAATTCTTTTCTCTTGGCAGCTTCTGGAAGAACTGGGCACAGGTTTAATACAGCAGTATAAACCGGAGTCTACCGTAGCACCTGATCAGAGAATACCAGTCTTCTTGGTAAATAAATGTCTATTCATAGTTTTCTTTTATTAGTGTTTCAGTTGCAGTTTTATTTTGAAGCTCAGTAATAAGTGGAGTAGATGATACGGTTTCTTCCAGTGTCAAAAATTAGATTTTATAATCCAGGAAAACATGAAACCAGTATAAATAGGTTTTATTTTCACATTTCAGTTTGTTTGCAATTTAGAATGTGGTAGGCTTATGTGTAACATTAGCAATGGCAAAACTAATTTTTTTCCATAAAACCTAGTCTGGTTACTCAGCCTGCCCAAGAGACAAACTAAAATGGTGGAAAGAGCCAAGGATTTTTTATCCAAAGCCAGGTGATCAAATTTAGGGAACATAATTGTATTAGTCCATTTTGTGTTGCTAAAAAGGAATACCTGAGGCTGGGCAATTTGTAAAGAAAAGAGGTCTATCTGACTCACAATTCCACAGGCTGTACAAGAAGCATGGTGCCAGCATCTACCTGTCTTGAAGCCTCTCTAGAAGCTTCTAATCATGGTGGAAGGCAAATGGGGAGCAGGCATGTCATATGGCAAGACAGTAAGCAAGAGGGAGATGCCAGGCTCTTTAAAACAACTAGCTCTCATGCGAACTCTTAGAGTGAGAACTCATTACCTCAAGGACAGCACCAAGCCATTCAAGAGGGATCCACCCCCATGACCCAAACTCTTCCTATTAGACCCACCTCCAGTGTTGGAGGTCACATTTCAGCATGAGGTTTGGAGGAGGCGCACATCCAAACCATATCACTCTGTCCCTGGCTCCCACAGATCTCATGTTCCTCTCACGTTGCAAAATACGGTCATCTCTTCCCAACAGTTCCCCGAAGTCTTAACTCTTTTCAGCATCAGCTCAAAAGTCCAAAACCTCAGCTGTGACTCAAAGTAAGTTCCTTCCACCTATAAGCCTGTAAGATCAAAAGCAAGTTACTGACTTTTAAGATACAATGGTGGTACAGGCATTGGGTAAACGTTCCCATTCCAAAAGGGAGAAATCAGCCAAAAGAAAGGGCAACAAGCCCCACACAAATCTGAAACCTAACAGGATAGACATTAAACCTCCAAAACAGTCCTTGACTCCATGTCCTGCATTTAGTGCACACTGGTGCAAGGGGTGGGCCTCCAAGGCAGCCTTGCCCTTGTGGCTTTTCTGGGTGCAGACCGTGTGGCTGCTCTCAGGTTGGAGTCCCATGCCTTTGGCTTTTTCAGGCTAAGGGTACAAGCTGTCAGTGGCTCTACATTCTTCAGTCTAGAGGGCAGTGGTCCCATTCCCACAGTTCCATTGGCAGTGCTTAGTGGAGACGCTGTGTGCGGGCTCCAACCCCCTATCTCCCTTTGGCACTGCCCTAGTAGAGGCTGTCAGTGAGGGCTCTGTCTCTGTGGGCACCCAGGCTTAGGGAATCCTCTGAAATCTAGGCAGAAGCTCCCCAGCCTTCTTCACATTTGCATTCTGTGCCTCTGCAGGCTTAACACCACTTGGAAGCCGCTAAAGGCTTACAGCTTGTACCCACTGAAGCAGCAAAGCAAGCAGTATCTGGGGCCATTTGAGCCAAGGCTTGGGATGCCAGGAGCAGTGTCCCAAGGCTGTGCAGGGCAGGGGGCCCCTGGGCCTGGCCCCCAAAACCACTTTTCTCCTAGGCCTCTGGGTGTGTGATTGGAGGGGTTGTCCCAAAGATTTCTGGAATGCCCTCAAGGCTGTTTTCCCATAGTCTTGGCTATGGGAAAACAGCTTGGTTAGCACCTGGCTCCCTTTTAGTCATGCTAATATGTCTAGCAAGTAGTTGCTCTGCAGGCCACTTGAATTCCTTCTCTACTACAGGATTTTCCAAATTTTTATGCTCTGCTAACCTTTTCATGATAAGTTCCAACCTTAAGTCATTCCTTTGCTCCTATGTCTGACTATAGGTTGTGAGAAGCAACCACATCACCTGTTGAATGATGCTTAGGATTTCTTCCAGCAGATACCCTAAGTCATTACTCTTAAGTTTAACCTTATGCAAAACCCTAGGACATGGACACAGTGCAGCCAAGCTGTTTGCTAGGGTGTAACAAAGGTGACCTTGCCTCTAGTTCTCCATACTTTTTTTATTACTATCTGAGACCTCCTCAGCCTGGCCTTCACTGTCCATATTTCTATCAGCATTTTGGTTACAACTATTTAATCAGTCTCTAAGATGTTCTAAACTTTCCTTTGTCTTCCTATCTTATGAGCCTTCCAAACTCTCAACCTCTGCCGTTACCAAGTTCCAAAGCTGCTTCCAAATGTTTAGGTGTCTTGATAACAACACCCCATTCCTTGGTACTAATTTTCTGTTTAAATCTCTTTGCTGCTGCTATAAAGAAATACCTCAGACTGGACAATTTATGTTTCAAAGAGGTTTATCTGGCTCACAGTTCTGCAGGCTATGTAAGAAGCATAGTGCCAGCATTTACTTCTGGTGAGGCCTCAGGAAGTGTCCAGTCATGGTGGAAGGTGAAGGGGGAGCAGGTGTGTCACATGGTGACAGAGGAAGCAAGAGAGAGATGCCAAGCTCTTTTAAACAATTAGCTCTTATATGAACCAATAGAGTAAGAATTCACTTATTAACACAAGGATAGCACCAAGCCATTCAGTAGGGATCCTCCCTATCACCCAAAAATCTCCCTCTAGGCCCACCTCCAACATTGGAAGTCACATGTCAATATATAAGATTTGGAGGGGACATACATCCAAACCATGTCAGCCACTTAATTAATATGTGATTATAAGCCTGGTTTCCTAGTTGTAAAGAGGAATAATAACCCATAACCCTTCAGTCACAAGGCTGTTGAAAAATAGAATGACATGTACAGATGCTAACACATAGTAGGTAATTCCTTTACCTGTGCCTCCCCACCCCACCCCACCCCACCATGATTCTGTTAAATTCCTGTGATTTCAGGTTGTTTCTGCTACCCCTAAAGGTTCTAAAGGATGATGGGCATGTGACCCACCAAAAAAGCCTTCTACTTAGTGCCAAAAGCAAAATCAACTCAGTGCTGGTGGTCTTTGCTCCCTCTGCTCTCCTCATTTTGCCTATTCTTTTCCCTTCACAATTTCTGTCATCCTTGCAGTGTATTAAAAATTCTAACCCTAGTCCTGCCTTAGACTGCCACTAAAGCTTTCATATAACAGGCGCAGGGAGATGAGTTGAGCTTTGCTATCAGACAGAACTAGGTTTGAATCCAGACTTCTCCCTTTGTTAAACAGGTGACTTTGGCCAAATCTTTTGACTGTTCACATTAAGGTATTGTTCATCCATTAAAAAAAAAAAAAGACATGGCCAGGCGCAGTGGCTCACACCTGTAATCCCAGCACTTTGGGAAGCCAAGGCAGGTGGATCATGAGGTCAGGAGTTCAAGACCAGCCTGACCAATATGGGGAAACCCTGTCTCTACTAAAAATATAAAAAATTAGCCAGGCATGGTGGCACGTACCTATAATCCCAGCTACTCAGGAGGCTGAGGCAGGAGAATCACTTGAACCCTGGAGGCAGAGGTTGCAGTGAGCCAAGGTTGTGCCACTGCACTCCAGCCTGGGTGACAGAACGAGACTCTGCCTCAAAAAAAAAAAAAAGAAAGAAAGTTTTCTGTATTGCTTGTCTATTACTGAGTAATAAATTAACTTTAAACATCTAGCAACGTAAAACAGTATACATTTATTTTCTCTCAGTTTCTGTGGATCAGGAATTAAGAGTGGCTTGGCTGAGTGATTCTGGCTTAGTTGTTGTGTGAGGTTGGGATCAAGATGCCCCCAGTGTTGCAGTCAACTGACAGGCTGCAAGACTTGAGGGAGTTGGAGGATCTTCTTCCAGAGTGGCTCACCTGTATACCTAGCGAATTAGTGTTGGCTGTTGGCAGAAGGCCTCAACTCATTTCCTCCCTGTGAGGACGTCTCCAGAGGGATGCTTGAATATCCTCTTGACATGGCAGCCAGATTCCTTCACAGCAGGTGATCCAAGGGAAAGAAAGCAAGCCAGAGCTGTAATGCTTTCTGTGACCTAGCTTTAGAAATAGTTTGATGCTGTCATTTCCACAACATCCTATTGGTTACCCAGGTCAGCCTGTTCAATGTGGAGGGGACTACAAAAGGGTGTAAATATTAGTAGGTAAGTGTAATTGTGGGCCATCCTGGAGATTGGCAACCACTTTCTGTCCACATTATTCTGGGGTAGGGCAGGGAGGGCCCAGACTGGGTTTCTAGGAACTAAAGTAGGAGAAAGATAGAACTGGTGCATGAAATATACAGCAAAACCCAGGTCTAGGTCCATGGAACAGAAACAAAACACATACGAAAACCACAGAGATTAGCAAATGAACATGAAATCACAGGATATGTATAAAGCATGGAAAGGAAACTATACGTGGCTATGTTAGAGGCTATGACATGAGGTAGTTCTTCAAAGTGCTTAAAGCAGAACCTGCTATTCAGTTTAAGAGTGTCCACTGTGTACCTGGCCCCGTGCTAGAAACCTTACACAGAGTATTACATTTTATTATCACACAGACTCTGCAAAGTAGTTGAAAAAGCTCTAGCTGAGTGTCAACCGATCTGAATTCTAGTTCATCCCTGCTGCTGATTAGCAAGTTGTATTGTCTCTTTGAGCCTCAGTTTCCTTGTGTGAAAAAGTAGGGATAATGATAGAGGCTCCATTTATTTGTGCCAAGGAATGAAATGAGTCGGTAACTATACGATACTTGGAACAATGCCTGGCATGAAATGGGCTCTGAACAGCATTAGCTGTGGCTGCTATTGCTGTTACGGTCATCACCATCTTCAGCCTCCTCTTGATTATTATCACTGTTGCTACCTAACTTTATCAGCCTGCAGTCTCCTAATCAATAGGTATTGAATGGAAGGCTTACACACTGCAGTTGTTTTCTAAAGCCCTTTTCATCACTGTGGAAGAAGAACCAATGAAAACATTTACAGAAAGCTGCTACTTTAAGGAAAGGTGTTTCACTACTAAGGCCATTTCTGCTCTGCTTAGCTTCGAGTTGGTTCCCCTGTCATGTCTTGGGCTGCAGCTTTTCCTGTACCTCCATTCCAGGTGGTGATGTTCTGGACTATGATGCTGAATGGTCCTTTACCCAGAGCCCTGCAGAATTCAGAGCACCCAACTCTCCAAGCGAGTGCCTGTGATGCCCTGTCTTCCATCTTGCCAGAGGCCTTCAGCAATCTGCCGGTAACATGAGGGTGTTTTCTCACCCTTAAATCATGGCTTGAGCACCAGAGCTAGAATTTGATTGTTTTACATTTTGAACCAGTATTCAGCATTATCTCTGATGAAAAGGTATTTGTTCTACCTGAGTTGGGGATGAGGGCACTGGGGAACAGCAAGTAGGAAAACTTGAAGCCTTAATATATCAGGAAAGCTGTTACCCCCTGTGCATTGGAATGTGGGTGGTAGAGGCAAGGCTAGCAGAAGTTTGGAAGGCAGAGAGATTTCAGGAAGATTTCATATCCAAAGTTAAAAAACCCTTGAGTTAAATCCCAGCTCTTCGACTTGCCAGCTCTTTGACTCTTAACCTCTAAAACTTGGTGTTATCATCAATAAGATGGCAGTCATGTGAAAAACAGCAAAGTATGTGAAAATACTTAGATTTGTGCCCAACACATATGGTATTTGTCTTAGTCTCTTTGAGCTGTTACAATAAAATACCGTAAATTGGGTATCTTCTAAAGAACAAAAATGTATTTTTGATGGTTCTGGAGGCTGAAATTAAGATCAAATCACTGACAGACACAGATTTCATGCCTCAGGAGGGCTCACTCTCTGGCTCACAGATGGCACCATATGAGCTGTGTCCTCATGGCGGAAGGCAGCTATCTGGGGCCTCAGTCATAAAGGTGCTTATCTGTTTCATGAGGGCTCTGTTCCCATGACCTAATCTCCTCCCAAAAGCCCCACCTCCTGATACCATCACCTTGGGAGTGAAGATTTCAACATAGGAATTTGGGGAGAACATAAACATTCAGATCATAGCAGAATTCAGACTGCTTTTTTTCTTTAGTCCTCAGTGGTATTTGTGTCTATTCTAATTTACATAAATTAGCTTCTATAAAGAAGGCAACTTTAATGAGGTAAAGAATAAAAATGACCTAATTCTCATGGCTATAAAGGTTAAACATGATGAGATGCTGTGTGTGTCTTGCACAAAGTGGGTGCTCAGGTAATCATGGAATCTGAATTAAACCTGCTGTTTACCAGGGTAGCGTCAAGGTCGCAGTGGTGTTCAACTCCTGATTATGGTCTCAGACACAGATATTTCACATCTTTCATGGAAGCCTTTGGCTTATAGTGATTTCATTCTCATTTTTCCCTTGTCAACCTTCTCATCGCAGAATGACAGGCAGATCCTGTGCATCACAGTGCTGCTCGGGCTGAATGACAGCAAGAATCGCTTAGTGAAAGCTGCAACCTCGCGGGCCCTGGGAGTCTATGTGCTTTTTCCCTGTCTCAGACAGGTCAGAGTGAGCCTATTTAGCTGTTCTGTGCCCCTTTTGTAGTCCACGGCACCCCTATTTTGTGAATATAGAGCTCCTGTATTGAATGGTAAAGGAAACTAAATTGCTTTGTAATCTGATTTCTTTAATTGCTACTAAAACATGGTGGCTCATGCCTATAATCCCAGCACTTTGGGAGGCCAAGGTGAGTGAATCACTTGAGGTCAGGACTTTGAGACCAGTCTGGGCAACTTGGTGAAACCCCATCTCTACAAAAAATAAAGAAATTAGCTAGACATGGTGGTTCGCACCTGTAGTCCCAGCTACTTGGGAGGCTGAGGTGGGAGGCTTGCTTGAGCCTGGGAGGTGAAGGTTGCAGTGAGCAGAGATCGCACCAGTACACTCCAACAGTGTTTATATTCTTTATATATAAACAACTATAGGCATTACTCTATATATACCACATATATTTATTACCATATATATGGTAATGCCTAGTTCATTTATTTTTAATTAGCATACTGGCTGGGACTCTAGGTGCCCAATACATGTTTAAATTAATGAATGATCCAATAAAAATGAAATGAGGCTTTACCAGGTGGTAGTCATCATTTAGAAAGCTGATACAGTTTTTACTAAGAAGGAAATAATACCCTCTTTCTCTCTTACTTGTGACATTTATCTCACTGGGAGGTGTGTAGTACCTAGGATATGTTTTGGAAATGCATTTCTTTCTCAGAACATTACTTCCTGAGATGATAATCAACCAAGCACAGAGTGTTCATAAGAGCAAAATCCATAGACTCCTCGGATGTCCATGGCACATAGCAAAATCATGGGAGCTTCTTCTGGGATTTTTTTTTGAGTGTCCAAATTGTAAAATATAAGAACAGTACATTGATTGAGTAGATGAATTTTGATTTCCAAGTAGAAATTTGCTGTGAATGCTTATAGATTTATCTGAAAAGAAGTTTGAGAATTTCAAAGGTAGCAGCATGACCTCCTAAAGTAAGAGCAGTGTTTTGTTTTGTCTTACAGGATGTCATATTTGTTGCAGACACAGCAAATGCAATATTGATGTCACTTGAAGACAAGTCTCTGAATGTTCGGGCCAAAGCAGCCTGGTCCCTGGGCAACCTGACAGACACTCTGATTGTCAACATGTAGGTGGCTCAGCTTGCTTTCCACAGCTGATTTCTAAGACTAAGGTCCCAAGAGAATGTCTTCGATCGCTACTATGAAAGAATCAGCAGTAGTTCCCCCATATTATGCAGTCATTCTTCCTGCTTTGTTTTGGTTTATATTCCTTCAGAAAATAAAATTAATAAGCTGTTCTTAACATATATTAGGAATATATTAAGACATGTATGTATTTAAAATGCTGTATGCTGATATAAGTACTATGTCCACATTATAGAAAACATAAAAGCAAAACCTTAGTAATGGTTACTGTACTTTTAAAATACATTTTTAAAAATTTCTTAAAGTAATATATTGACAGACTAAAAAAAATCCAAATAGTACAAAGCAGTGTTCGGTGTGAAGCCTTTCTTCTACCCTGACACCTTGGCTCCCTCCCCGAGGTAGCTTGTTATTCATGCACAAGTGTCCTGCTTTTTGTTATTTCACTGTGTGAGTGACATGTAAAATGTGTAAGCATTCTCTTTTATTATTGACTTGTTATAAATCCTATGTCTGATTACATAACTATCACTTTGTGATCGTGATTTAACCATTTTTCTGTTACTGAACGTTCGTTTTAGGCTTTATGCTTGTAGGCTTTTATATTCAGTGAATATTTTTGTGCATGATATCTGGATTTTGAGATTTTTTTGGAGACATTCCTAGGTGTGGGACTATCAGGTTGAAAGATACATACTGTAAGTTTCTTGGTATAATCTAAACAGATTTGTTCAACTGTTTTCCTAAATTTTGTATGGTTATACTAAGTGAATATATTTTATATGTATATATTTAAGTGTATTTACCTTTTAACATGTTTTGCCTGCTTTGGGTGGAACAGGGAAACACCAGACCCAAGTTTCCAGGAAGAGTTCTCTGGTCTTCTGCTCTTGAAAATGTTACGATCAGCTATAGAAGCATCCAAGGATAAAGACAAGGTGAACTCACAACAAAACCCAGTATCTCTCAAATAGATACTTAATGGATTGTAGCTGTAGTGTGGTGGCTTCATGTGTCTTGATGTTCCTCAGACTATCCCACCAAATGTTACCCCTGTTCAAACTGAGGGTGTGCTTAGGGTTATAAATGGCCCACTCCACACATGTACAGTTTCTTTACTGTCTCCTGCCTCCTGAGAAATATCAGTGCCCATCATCATACTATATGACATATTCAAGTTCTTTTTAAAATTAACTGTTTTTTTAAAAAAAAAAATCTTTAAGTAGAATTGGCAAGTCAGAAAGATGAGTAGCTCCTGGCTTTGAATATTACCTGTTAAACTAATAAGTTTAAAAAGCATAGGGCTGGACTTTAGGTCAGACAAACATGGATTCAGTCCCTGGCTTGCCATTTAGTAATGGGGTGACTTTGATATATTATATGTAACTTCTTTGAAGGTCAGCTTTTCACCTATAACATGGAGGTCGTGGCATATACCTCACTGAATATAAAGATGCCTTATGTTAAAGCACCTAGCACAGTACGTGACCCATACTATGTGCTCACTTTAATACTACTTCTGAAAATCTGGTAATCACCCAGGAAGCCCTATCCAGAGTAATTCACTCAGAAGTTCTGAGGTCAGGGCCTGTGAATTGGTTTTAAAACAAAAGGAAAAACCTCCCCCAAATGATTCTGGTGGGCTAGTCCAGTAGAAAAGTATTGGACTGGAATTATGGAACCTAGCTTCTCCTCCTTGCCTTGCTGTAAACCAGCCTTGTCCTGTTGTCCCTGGTCCTTATACTCCATCTCAGTAAAACAAGGAAGACGGCTCTCTCTGAGGTCCTAACACTAAATAAAATAATTAAATAATCAGAAGAGTTTTGTAGAACCTTCACCTTTCTGATGGTTCAGAATGTTAACCAGACAAGACCTTGCAGAGTTCCAAGGACTTGCTTTAAGAAGTCTAGGACCTCCTGAGTTTTTTTTAAAGCTGAAATCAGACTTTTAGAAACATCTCTCAGCTTAACAGATTTCTAAAGCTTTTACATTTTTTTCTAGGTAAAAAGCAATGCTGTCCGGGCCCTTGGAAATTTGCTTCACTTTCTGCAGCCCTCTCATATAGAAAAACCCACATTTGCAGAAATCATTGAGGAGTCTATCCAGGCCCTAATTTCCACTGTTCTAACAGAAGCTGCCATGAAAGTCCGATGGAATGCTTGTTATGCAATGGGAAATGTATTTAAAAATCCTGCCCTTCCATTAGGTAAGAAAGTTTCCCTTTTCTCTGTGGTGGAAAGCCTCTTGGGACAGCACACACCAATCTACATTGTTGTTAAAAACGTTAGTCACATGTTATTTGTCATAGTATTAGGAAAAAATGGAGACATACCGAAAACAAGTTTAGGGGAACATTGAAATACATCATTACCTATAGGTAATATATAATGGGATATATAATGGGATATTTTATTGCCATTTAAAATTACTTATAAGAATTTGATAATCTGGAAAAATACTTCTGATGTTAAACGAAAATAGGTATTAAGTCATTTCTACAGAATGATCTCAATCGATGGATAGAAGAAAGACTGAAAGGAAATTGTCCTAATTATTAACAGTGATTGCCTCTGGATGAGTAGAATTTTTTGTTTTCCTTTTCCCAATTGTCTATAGTAGCATATATTGTTTTAATAAAGTCAAGAAAAAATAAAGGAAGAAACTGGGATGAGAGGGGATATAAATTGGAAATCCCATATGAACTGTGTACAGAGTGGATGCCATTAATAAATGTAAGGAGGGCATCTGTTTCTAATTAGTGGTGTGCCGTGCACCTAGAGGTGTCATTCAGGACCAGCAGCTGCTTAGTTGTATGGATCAGAGCCTCCAAATCTTGCTCACTTTGAATGCCAGCATTCACTTTATTGCGTCTCTCTCTCTCTCTCTCTCTCTCTCTCTCAGAAGATCTGAAACCTAAGGATGTCTTCCCGGAGAGGAGAGCATGCATCAAGCAAGGGGAGTCTGGCTCTGCTCCCTATTATTGCCCAGAGCATCCAGGCAGGCCAATCAGCTGGGAGCACGTGGAGAAGTAGCCTCCTGGCTTCTTCCACTGAGGAAGTCACCTAAGGGTGACCTTTGGGGTTGGGGCTCACTGAGGTGGATATCTGCCTTCTGGAGAGCCAAGAGGTCCTTGAAACCAGGGCACCTCAATGGTAGTTGGCTCCTACCTGCCTTCCTATGTGGCTCTTGTCTTCAGCCTACTAGAGAGAGAGAGAGAAGTTGACCTGGAGAGAGGGGACTGCATGACCTGGAAGGAAAGAGAAGCTCCAAAGAGGCAGGAAGTTTGCGAACTAGAAAGCATCTATAGCAGAGCTATTAGGAGCCACGTAAGAAAAGGGAGCCAGAATCGGGCGTGGTGGCTCAAGCCTGTAATCCCAGCACTTTGGGAGGCTGAGGTGGGTGAATCACGAGGTCAAGAGATCGAGACCATCCTGGTCAACATGGTGAAACCCCATCTCTACTAAAAATACAAAAAATTAGCTGGGCATGGTGGCGCGTGCCTGTAATCCCAGCTACTCAGGAGGCTGAGGCAGGAGAATTGCCTGAACCCAGGAGGCAGAGGTTGCGGTGAGCCAAGATCGCACCATTGCACTCCAGCCTGGGTAACGAGTGAAACTCCGTCTTAAAAAAAGAAAAGGGAGCCAGAAACTGACAAAGGACTGTGACTGACAGGTTGGAGTGTGAGGGTCTCATAGCTCTAGCAGTGGCCCATTGTCAATGGCAGTGGCATCTACCAAATAGAAAGGGCCTGCTTGCCTGTCTTCGGAGGCAACAGAGAAGAAGGGAAGGGTTGGGAGAGTTAAGAGAAGCTGCATTCTACTCTGTCACCCATCTTGAGGAGTAAAGACACCCCAAAATGGAGTGGGTAGCAGTAGCTCTGGTAAAGAGGAAAGCAGGCTGATTTCCTAGGGCCTACAAGAATGGAGAAAAGATAGAAATCTGGGCGTCTTGTTCTTGAAATTGTAAGTTTTCTTTTTCTTTGCAATAAAATGCGTGATTTACTATGGCCAGAGCAGTGTCTGGATGCTGTTGCGAGTGAGGAAATAATTCTTTTTGCTGCATGAACAGGGCTGCCACATGCAGTGTGTGGTGTGCACACTGCTCAGAAGTGCCCAACTGAGAAGACAGGTGGGGTTGCAGTTCAGTCCATGCTCTGCCACGAAGCCTTACCCCATGGGACAGAATCCTCCCAGAGAAAAAGCCTTTTTCTGGATCGCCAAAGGCCCTATATTGGGTAGCAGAGGCTCTAAGCATGTGGCAGGCTGATAACAGGGAAAAAGGGAGGTCTGGGGATTGGCACCTGGGCACTTACCTAGAATTCTACAGTCAGTCGCCACCTTGATCTTACAGGATGATTGGGAGAATGACGTGAACACATAAAATGACCGTCCTGAGCACTAGTGTTTGTGCTTCCTTCTGCCCCTCTATTTCTAAGCCTGCATATGTTTTAATGACTGGATTCTTTCTAGGGACAGCCCCATGGACCTCCCAGGCCTACAACGCCCTGACATCAGTCGTGACCTCATGCAAGAACTTCAAAGTGCGCATCAGATCTGCTGCTGCCCTTTCCGTCCCGGGCAAGAGAGAGCAGTATGGGTCTGTTGACCAGTATGCTCAGGTCTGGAACGCATTGGTCACTGCCTTACAGAAGAGCGAAGACACCACAGACTTTTTGGAATTCAAGTACTGTGCCAGCCTACGGACCCAAATCTGCCAGGCACTGATTCACCTCCTGAGTTTGGCCAGTGCCTTGGATCTGCCTTGTATCAAAAAAACCCTTGAACTGAATGGGAATATGGTCCAATCCTATATCCTACAGTTCTTAAAATCAGGAGCAGAGGGAGAGGACACTGGAGCACCCCCCAGCCTACAGGAAAGAGACCAAATGGTCAAAATGGCCCTGAAGCACATGGGCAGTGTCCAGGCACCAACTGGAGACACAGCCAGAAGGGCCATCATGGGCTTTTTAGAAGAGATCCTGGCTGTTTGTTTTGACTCATCTGGATCACAAGGGGCACTCCCAGGATTAACAAATCAGTGAAGATCCCACCATACTTTATAGATGTCGAAGGTGGCAATAGGAAGACCTGAGCTTGAGAAAAAGATATGTGGCATTTCATCTTAGGGGCAGAAACAATCCATTCACTATTTATTTAGAATGACTTAGCAGTGATTTAAATTTTCACAGAGTGGCTCCACAGCACTGGCCATGGTCAGGCTTATTGGAACCTTTGACCTGTGCATCCAGGAGCCCAGGAGTCAGGCTGTATTATGAGCCAAGCAGACAGGGGGCGCTTTGAGTACAGTTAGTCTCAGAAAAAAAAAAAAAAAAAGTAGGATTTAGGAATTAGAGTATTGTATATTATGTCTGTAATTGTGTAATAAACTAAAGAGAAGTGACCACAATCTCCTGTTGTTACCAAGTTGAATTTCTAGAAAGCTGCAAGCAGAGTTGCGGTTCAGCTAGTCTGTACTGGCACAGCTGTGCAGGGTGCTAGGTTACTGACAGTTCCTCATAGTTGATAAGGAGCTGCTGCTCGGAGCTTCTGGAGTGCCCGTGCTCCCGCTGACCGCCTTCTCTGCCACACCTCCCCTCCCACAGTCCAATAACCAGAGTTAACTCCCAGGAAGCAGGGCCCTTTAGCCTAGGCCACAACACTGACTTCCTAAATTCCCTCATGCCCTCTTGGAGAATGTGAGCCCACACACTAAATGATAGTTGTTTTGCCACCTCTTAATTTGTGCCTTTAAGAAAAGATGATCTGGTTAATTTAGTTGGTTCCAAAGAGGGGTTTTAAATTATAATTTGTTAATGCCCCCAAAAGTTATGAAAGTAATTTCTACTGAATACATATATTTAAATTTTACATTTCTCTATTGAGCACCTACAATTTATTGGAATTGATTTCAATTAGGAATTTAGGGATATATAAGAACAAATTAAAGTTTTCCATACTTATCTTTGATGTGGGACAATTAAGATACAAAAAATGGGTTTTGGTGATATTTAATCATCGTATTTAGCTTAAAATACATGCTTAAAGGCATGTGTCTTTCGTTTTTCTCCTTTGCCTTTTAGTTGCTCTTTTCCTGCCTCTGATATGCTGTTGGAGGCTCAGAAACTGCTCTCTGGGCACTGATGGGGGAACAGAGTATTCAAGTTCACTGAAGGCTCGGTTTTCCATTGATAGAATATCAATTTCCAAAGAATTAAGACTGTAAGCACAGCCAAGACACCCATATTGAATGCCTTTAAATTGCTTTGGAGATGACTCTGAACATGAAGTGTTATAGAGGGCCCAGGAAACTAAGTCGAGCCCACCTGACCCTGTGATGAATCTTGGAACTTCCTTCTCTTGAATACATCGTAGTAGTAGCTTCTTGGCATTTTCAGAAGAGGAAAAATATGGCATATATAGCTTCTTACTATGATTCTTTGAGTTTTCTCAGGTGAGTTTTTTATAAAACATTTGTGAAGTGGCCTCATGGTTTCATTTGATGATTCACTCATCTTTTGCTTATCTTGAATAATATCCCATTCATTTTCTTTTTAAAACTTTAGCCTCTGTAAAGGTTTCCAAATCCTGATGTGGATGTTAATATTCATGTGCAGAAGAAGAACCAAGGCACAGTGTGCTGATTCTCTTCTCTGCAGCATTGCAGGTATACAGACACCAGAGGACAGGAGCTCCTCTCAGATGCCTGCGCAGGTGCCTCTAGAAAGCTGCTGTGGGGAAAGGAAGCCGCAGATAATAAAGACAGCTTATGCTGATGAAAACCAGCAGATAGTCCCACTGATTCATAATTGTAATGCAGAATGCCAAATTCTAAGTTAGTTTTTAACTACTTAAAAATTGGGAGGAAGAGTCATTCAGGCACAGATGACTAGGGCCTTTGTCCATTAGACTACAGCATTATGAGACATTGCTTATCTTGCTTTTTGAACCTTTTTTGTCACCAGTAAAAAATAAAACCATTAATTCCTACCTGCTTCCAGAACTCAAGAAATGCGCCTCTTCTGAGGTTGGGTGCCATGGCTCATATCTGTAATCCCAATAGGCCAAGGCAGGAGGATCACTTGAGCCCTAGGAATTCCAGACCAACCTGGGCAATGTAATGGGACTTTGTCTCTACAAAAAAAAAATAAAAATTAGCTGGCTGTGGTGGTGTGCACCTATAGTCCCAGCTACTCAGGAAGCTGAGGTGGGAGGATTGCTTGAGCTGTGGATTTTGAGGCTACAGTGAACTGTGATTGCAGTACTGCACTCCAGCCAGGGCAACAGAGTAAGACCCTCTCTCTGAATGAAAAAAAAAAAGAAACCTCCTGTAGAGCACTGATGCAAAGGTGTCCTTGATTTTGGCATTTGTGTATGAATAAAGGCCATGAGCAAAACCTCACCATCTTTCCAGCGTAAGAGCTAAGTAAATGAAATACTCTGGCTTATTCAGCCTTTGTTTCATTGATATAGTACAGTGGTTAAGAGCTTGGGTTTAAATCCTGGCTGTGCAGCTTTCTACCTGTGAAAGTTACTTAACCCCTTCATGCCTTATTCATCTGTAAAATGGGGATAAAAGTGACTACTTCGTAAGGATGTTGTGATGATTGAATTAGTTAATACATAGAAAGTTCTTGGAACAGCTTCTGGCACTCAGTAAATGTCAGGTATTTATTTCCTTGAATTTTCAGAGCAGTAGGCAGAAGAAGTTCAAAAAGATAATTCATTAGCATAATAAAATACATCTGTCTCAACAGGGACTTCCCTAAAAGACTCAGAACCAAGACAGGCAAGAATGATATCACCAATATACCTAATACTGTACAAGAATTAATGGCCATGTGATTCAATAAACCAAAATAAAAATTTTCAGAGTTTTTTTTCTAAAAGAGCTTTAAAATTATCATTGTGTGCAGAAAAAGAGTCTGAGTGATTGAATTCACAAATTATTGAATGCAGAAAACCAAGAAAATCAATTCAGAAAGTAATGAAACCAATAAAAGTTCTGTAAGGCAGCTGGCTGCAAAGTAAATATGCCAAAATCAGTAGCTCTTCTATATATCAGCAATAACCAATTTGATTTTTAATAAAAATTTTAATAATAAAATACCTGAGAATAAATTTAACCAAGCTTATGCAAGGATTGTGAGAAAAAAAATTACCAGTGGTCATAAAATTTATGCTTTTGTTTTTTAAATAAAAATCCATCTCTCATTCCAGTCATACTCCATCTTGTTCCCACGTGAATCCTGGACCACAGGCATGGAGCAGTTAGCTTTGAAAACAAACTAGTAGCAGGAAGATCAAGGAAGCAAAAGAGAACTTGAAACACCACCAAAGGGGCAATCTGCCATTTTATTCCCCCTCTGGGATCCCCTGGCCTGGACTCAAAGATTTGCCAAAACCTGGAATTGCATCCTAGATGCAGATACAAAGAGCTCTGAGCCTCAGTTCCTGACAGAGAGCGCAGCACCCCATATGTCAGAGAAAGCAGGGAAGTCCTGTTTGCTGTTGCTTTTCTCCACACCAGAACCTAGGCAATTGCACTGCACAGTGGCACACCAGGCAGGTGCCTAAAACTTCAAGGGAAGGAAACTCATCTCTCTGGCAGGGGAAGAAGGGTCCCACCAGCAAGAGAAGCATACCCATGGCTTTTTTTCTTCTCTACATCCTTCCATGCTTGGCCGTGGAGGAAGACACAGCCACAGAAACTGTAGGGCAGAGCAGTACAGTTAAAACCCTGACTTAAACAGATCTGTAAAGTGTTGAGATTTCAGCAATGAGGGAACGTAAGAAGGCAATGCCTTAAAGTTGTATGTAAACTCCTGGGCTAACTAACACCCAGGCTTTACCTGTGTGGATCCGATCAAAGGCTTTGAGAACTGAACTGTGGGACAAACCACTGCCACTGGGTGGCGCACACACGGGACGGATCTGAAGCTTAACTGACACTGAACCACAACCCGCAGGAGGCAGGTAGGATCCTGAACCTAACCAGGACAATTGCCTGCTAAAGCAAAAACATAGGCTTCCAACATGGCCCAGATTCTCATAACACAGAATTCAAATGTTCATGATATCGTCCCTAATTACTTGACTTGTAAAGAACAGAGAACCTCGCAATTTCCTGAAGACACTCCTGGGCTCAAGAATCTTCCCACCTCAGCCTCCCGAGTAGCTGGGATTACAGCAACCTGCCTCCCAAGCAGCTGGGATTACAGGCACCCACCACCATGCCTGGCTAATTTTTGTATTTTTAGTAGAGATGGGGTTTCGTCATGTTGTCCAGGCTGGTCTCATACTCCTGGGCTCAAGCGATCTGCCCACCTCAGCCTCCCAAAATACTGGGATTACAGGTGGGAGCCACCACACTTGGCAGAGACAAAAACTTTAAATTATATATTAAAATCATATCCCAAGAAGTAAAGACAAACCATTGTGAAACTAATTTTTAAAAAGTATCAGCAGAGATAGAAGATAGAAATAAAGTCTCCAAATGGAAACTTCAGAATTGAAAAATGAGACAAATGGAATTTTTAAAAATTACTGAATTAGTCTCAATAGGAGGACAATGATGACAGATGAAAGAGTCACTACACTTGAATATAAATCAACAGAAATTGTCCAATCTGAGCAAGAGGGAGAAAAAAATATTAGGAAAAAGAAGAAGAGAGCCTCACAGATTTACAGAACAATACACAAAGTTCTAACATCTTCGTGATTGCAGTTCCATAAGGAGAGGCAGAAATATGTTGCACAGAAAAAGATATTTGAAGAAATAATGGATGAAAAATTTCCAAATTTGGCTGAATTCAAACTTGTAGATTCAGGAATCTCAGCAAACCCTAAGCAAGATAAAAGAAACCCATGGCCAGACAAATCATAATCAAATTTCTAAAAATTGAAGAAAAGAAAAAATCTTAAAAAGCATCCAGAGAAAAACATCACATCACATGTAGGGGAGCAATTATTCAAACAACTCCTCGGAAACCACAGAGACCAGAGATCAGCAGACCATGTCTAAAGGGTTGGAAGAAAAGAACTTCCAAGCCACAATTCTATATACAACACAAATATCTCTTAGTAATTAAGGCAAAATAAAACATTCTTAGTTGAGGAAAACCTAAAGGAACGTGTGACCATCAGACCTGCTATAAATAAAGGAAAAGGATTTATTCAGACAGAAGAAAGATGACACCAGAGGGAAATTTTAAACTTTGGAAATGAAGACAACAGAAATGAGAAATATTTTGGTAAATATAATAGGTTATCTTTATCATCTTAAGTTCTTTACAATATGTGTAACCAGTGAAAGCAGAAGGTAATATGATGGAATTTTCAATGACTACAGATGCAATAAATGTAAAAATTACAACATAAAAGGGGACAAAGGGATCTATATGATAGTAA